ATGTTGGCAGGGAAAGTCCTGACTCCCCATCCTTGTTTTGAATAGGCTTCAAGATTGATATCAGGAGTATCCCTGGATAACTTGTGAAGTACCATAACCTTGTAAGCTGCTTGAAGAGTGAGGCAGATGTAATTTGGCCTATCTCAAAGAAAACAATTTGTTATGCAGAACAACAACAACAAAGATTAAAGAAGCATTTTGAGGCACCACTGTGCAAAAAAGTTATTTGAAAACTAGTCCTGGAAGGGTCTGTTTCTGGACTGTGAATGGCATGACATTAGGCATTGAGTGTGTATCAACCATGATCTAAAACATTTGGTTGTTGCTTATTTATACTTTCAGTATTTGGAAGTTTAATATCTCTTTAAAGAGGAGGCTTAAGACATCACATTTTAAATAATTTGTGTGGAAATTTTAAAACGTTTGTTGCTTTTCATGTTCTCTTAATTTTCTGTTTGTATTTCTAAATGGTACAGGTGGGTTTGCCTGTTTCTCTTAAAGCACTGGAAGTCTCATGACTCAAAAGAAAACCTCCAAGGTTTGCGGTACTTTCTCTACAGGTCCATCATTAAGAATGTCTGTTCTCTGTTCTGAATGTTCCTTTGATCACTGATACATGGTAAGTCATTAAGGAGCACCTGAATGTAGGGGAACAGCAGTCAGGCAGAACAGCAGGTCATTTTCTTGCACACTGCCACAGACAAGATGGTGAATGTAAGAACTGCATGAGAAACTGTAGGTTAAAAGATTCCACCAACAGTGCAAAATCTGATAGATGAGATATACATCATCAATTAGGCTTTTGAAATCATACCTTAAATATCTTTCTTGGGATATTGAGAGAATATCTGAAGAGCAGTAAGTTACAAGAGATTGTAATGATGGTTTGACTAGACAAATTTTCTGTGTTTTCTGGAAGTACAATTTTCTCTCTCCAGCTATTGAGGCACTGGATGTCAGTGTTCTGGATTGGAAATACTGGCACAAAGAAGAGCAGCTTTATTTGACTGTGCAATGCCCTGTGTGAGGAGCAGCCCTGAAAAAAGCATAGTGAATAGTGCAGCACAAGTGAAAAGGCAATCCCAAACAGAAATTCCTGGAGAGAATCCTAAACTATAAATGGCTCATTTGTTCCTTGGGTTAAATCCTGGCCCCATGCAAGTCCGTGGCTAAACTCTTGTTAGCTGTGATGGGGCTGATACAGCACCCTATTTGTGTCAGTTTTAAGAAGGTGAATCCATTTGACATGTATCTTTCACTGGCAAAGAGGCACAATATTTATACAAAGACAGTTCCTTAAATGCTACCAAAAACACAAAGAAAGGAAAAGGGAAACAACTACTTCTTATTCAGGAGGCACAATCTGTCCAAGATTTGATGAAAAAGATTCCACATAAGAGGAACGAATGATAATGTAACCTCCACATATCCTCACACAGGACATGTGTGTAGCACCATAAGCTCACAAGACTTCTCAGAATAGGTCAGATCACCTTTAGAACTCTTGTTGCTAAAGTAGAAAATGCCAGGATGCAATTCTTTATGATGTTCTAAAACCAGCAAGAGATTGTGTGATCAGGAGAGCTGACACACCCCATTGCTCGTGCAGTAGGTAGACATTCTGTCTACATCATGCATTGTGACATTCATCTCACTTCGGAAATGAAAGGAGAATCCTGCTGAGTAAATTAGAATCAGTGGTAATACAGCTGTTAGCTACAAACATTTGTTTGGCATGAATCAATCTCAACTCTCCTGTAGTTTGCTTTGATGGTCTCTCTAGTATCTTGTTGACTAATGATGAGATCATGGTTTGTTAATCTAAGTGCATAAAGAAAACATTCTGCCAAGCAAAATGCAGACTCTTTTGCTGGGGTTTATTGCAGTTGTTTATAGACCTTTTGTTTACACAGGCATCCAAACCAATTTGTTGGATATTTATTTGGGTTACTCCACAGAACTGCCTGAACACAGACCTGAATCCTATCTTAAATCTGTCTGCATTTTAATGGGCTCTAGTTTGAACAAAGTGGAACCAGCCACTTAGGATGCATTTCTTGTTGGCCAGAGCTTCAAATGTTTCATGTGCTATCTATAATTCTCATCTTGAGAGCGTTTAACAACTGAAGGGAGTTGTAAGCTGTTCTGATTTGGAGGTTACACGTTTGGTTTTGAACAGAAGTTATTAGAACTCGTTAAACTTTTGCAGCAATCAAAATACAAATTTTAATCCAGCCAGTGCTTTATTACTTCTTGTTCTCCATAAGAATCTCTAATCTTAAACCCAGAACATACTGCACCCAACTATTCCCTGTGTACCAGGAACACCAACACACTGTTTCCATACACAGTTCCAGTTCAGATGGAGCACACAGGTACAGACAGCTCACAGCAAGCAGAATTGCTGTATTTGCAAAGCCTTAACTGAGCTCACAGATTTGAATGGAAATAAAGGCAAATTAAAAGTAAAGCAGCTTCTGCTGACTGCTTTTCTCTGCTAATTGAAGGCCTCTCACCTCTTCTGCCTAGCAAAAGTTCTTTCAGACAATAAGAAGGAAATATGAAGAACTTCTCTGCATTTGTGATATGTGTACAAATTGTCCCCTTATCTGCACTTGTCTTGGAAATACATAACACCCAGTGTTCATTTTACTGGGGAAGAGACTTGTGTTTAACATCTCCTGTGCTTCTGAGCCCTGCAGCCCCACAGCAGACACATGGGTAAGCCAGACATCCTGAGTCTGGATCTGTTCTTAAACGCAGAATCATAAATAACTGAGTTTATTTTAATTGAATTGTTGCTAGTAAATTTTTTTAAGAAACAAAAACATACAAGTGGAACAGTGAAGAAGCCAATACAGAGGGGCAGTGTGCAAGGAAAAGGTATGCACAGTGAAGAGCAGGGATAGTGTAGGAGATAGCTGAGCTTTACAGAACCTCTCCCATGGTCCTGGTGAGTGAGAGTTTCACCCTACTGCTAGGAACCAGAAAGATCAAGGAAAATTCCATAAGATGTAATGATACATGTAAATTGATTATGGCCTTTCAAGGGAAGGTAGGGAGAGGATAGGAGTGACTGCTGACATGGTCATCCTGGCTGGAAGAAAGATTGGTTATGGCAGTTTAAGTTTCATCTGATTGTAAAAGATGAGGGTAAAAATGTGTCATGAAGCCTGAGAGGAGATGGCCATAATTAAGGAGGATCATGGATTAGCCCTGGGCTCACTAAAACCAAACCAGTAAAAATAATCACTTCTGTTAAAATGCCCATGCCAAACAGGCTCCTGAAGAGTGAGAACCAAAGCAAGCACAGAAGCCAAGAAAGCTACTGGAATCTAACAAGGCACAGTATTTTTAGGCCTGCTTTCATACGCAGTATGATTTTATTTCTTTCAGAGTGTCAGTTGTCAGAGTGAAATCCATAGCCTGCTGGGTGTCTGCAGCACCCTTCCCAGTGGGCTGTGGAGGGAAGAGTTTTGAGACCACGCGCAGGGGAGAGGAGGTGAGCCATGGGAGGGTGTTTTTTAAGAAGCAGGCAAGCTAAGGGATGAAAGAGGTGGCAGACTACTCTGTGCATAAGCTAACCCATAAAAGGAGGGGGCAGCAGGAAAGAGGAAGAGAAGTGAAATCAAACAGTAATGGTACTACAGAAAAAGAGCTCTTTTTATGATTTTTCACATATTATTTATGGGGGAGTGTGTGAAAAGTAAATAGTAGTATTTAAAATTTTTTTCAAAGCACTAAGCGAATCCACAAACCAGAGAAGAGAGTGCACACTGGACAGCTCATAAATTAGAAATCAGAACCATAAATTAGAAGTCCTTTATGTGTTATCATTGCATAGGCATGGGCTTTAGCTCTCCCAACAGTCAGGAGTTTCAAGAAGTACTAGAGTAATGCATGGGTGACAAGGCCTTTGGTGCTTGGAAATGCAATTTTCCACATGCATCTTTGGCTCAGCAAGTCTGTAAGTCGTTGATCATCAGAAACTGTGAGGCTACAGCAAGGAAAGGATCACTCCACACATGCTCTTTTCTTCTGTGAGCATCTGTTACTGGTCATGTTGCAAGATAAGGTGCTAGGCTGGATGGCTCTTTGGTGTGGCTGTGTCAGGCTTTATTGAGTTAAGGTCATGAACTTGGCCTTTTGGCTCATATTCCTAGGGATTGGGTTCTACAAATTTTGGAAAACATTAGCATTAAATTTTTTTTTTTTTAGAAAGAGCAGCCTGTTTTCTGCCTTTCAAGAATATTGCAGGAAATAGATAATAATAGCCTGGTTTTGTGATTTTTACAGGCAAATGGGGAGTTTTCATTACCCATAAGCGTATATTTCAAAGGTAAAGAACTTACATAAAGGAACCTCATGGTAAAAACTTGAGGAAAACCTGCGCTTCAGAATGTGAACTTGAAGATCTTTACATTTGCATTAATAGGTTTTATCAGTAACTTGCTCAAGCTGGAAGTATGAACTGCCTTAACTAGCACCTGGATGGAATGGGGCGATGGAAGTTAATATCGTGGTGTTTATATACCTAATGGCTATCGGAAATCCACATCACTGCAGTGTACAGCTGACATACCTCAGACGAGTACCAGAGAGACAAAATATTTCCATTATTATTTCATTAGGAATTGAAATCTGTTTTGGAGAAGTCAGAGACTCTACAGTCCGGCTCATATCAGAGCATTGTGTTTAACATGTTACAATGTTGACTTGCTGTTACGAAAATTCAGTGTTACAGGAAATCAGAAACAATATGGAATAGTTTACACTAACTCTGCATTAAAACGTTCCATCTGTTCTTGCTTTAGGTTCTTAGAGGATTGCTTTTTCATCTCTGTAATGCTTTTCACTTCCTATTAGTAAGGCTTTTAAAGGTAGGCACTGAGTTAGTATAAAACCCACAGCTTTTGAGTTTAAACGCCTATTAAAACTAAAGCTGTCTGGAACTACAATAAAAATTTATTTTGGCTACAAGAGACAACTTTGAAACCTAACCCATCTGTATTTTTCCTCCTCCAAACAGTGCAACATCCTGTATAATAGAATATTTATCTTAAACAGAGACCACATATCTTTATGAAAACAATTGTTTCAACTTAATTTATGGGGGGTAATCAGCTCATATTAAAGTTTTCCATATTCCAGGATGCTAATGTAAATTGGTTACAGGAGATGTAATGACTAGAGTAATTCCACAGAATAATCTGAAATCTGATGTAGCCATTGACTTAGAATGTAACCTGTGTACATTAGAGTCTAAAGTTGCCATTAAAAATCATGTACAGGCATACAGTAATTGCAAAACAACTGTGTGTGCAAATTAGGCATATGACTGCAGCTACATTTTGCTGGTAATTTAGGCTTGTGTGTGCCTTCCAAACTCAATTACAGGATCATTCTACCAGAATAATTTATTTGCAATAATTGAGCTGGTCTCTGGGCCCACCAGCGAGATACCCACACCTATCTAGCAGGGCTGCTTGGGCAGTGAATTTATTGACTCAAATCAAAAAACAAATTGCCTCACTGTGAAGAGCAGTATCCCTGGGATGCATGGAGCCTTCCACTGCCACGAGTGGGAGTCAAACATATCAAAGAGAGACTGGATCCCTGGGGTTTAGCTCCCTCCATACAATAGTTCGTCAGATTTTGAATTGAAAAGGGCTGGGTTTAGCACTCTCTAAATATAACCAGCCCTGAAACTCCCACAGAGATTCCATTCTGTCTGCCTTCAGACAATGAGATAAGGCCCCTTCTCCTGTGACTTCAGTCTGGAGTACCTCTGTCATCCCCACCCCAGCCCTGATAACAGCCAGCTTTGCACATATTTGAGAGCAAGACGTGATGTGAGTTTTGAGAGTTAGTTTCTCTGTAGATTGCAGCCTTCATCTTCACAGTGAACCTCCCCTGTAACATCTGCATCATAGACTCATAGCAAGACATTCTGGCATCCAGGAGACAACTGACTTGCTTCACCCTCTGGCCAGCTTCTTTCCATCAATTTGTGAACAGACACCTTGGACAATCTCCATTTCTCCCTGTATTCCCTACATTTTAGGCTTCATCCTCAATATACTTAAAGGCAGCATCAAAGTTGAAGTATATTTGCACAGTTTCCCCCCTTCCTCTCCCCTTTTCCCCAAGTACAGCAAGATACACAAATTATGGATGTTAAAGCAGCATTTATGTGTGCTGTGATATACACGGGATGTTCTGCCTACTTGCATGTGATTCACATCCTCATAAGCCCACAGGAAATCCCAGCAATATTTTTCCAGGCATATCTCCTGTGCTGAGGTGCTGAGCACAGCAGGGGCTGGAGGAAAGGAGCCATTTCTGCTTGGGAAGTACTGCTGTACATAAGTTTAGCTGGGAAGGACAGACTACTGTTATTTAGACTTAGCTCTTTTACTCAGTGACAGTAAGAAATGTAGCACAAAGACTGAAGTATTTACTCACATTTTGCAGTGAATCCTCTTACCTCAGTGGATCCAGTAAAAGCAATTTTATCAATGCCAACGTGAGAGGCTATGGCTGCACCAACAATTGGACCAAATCCTGGCAAAATATTGACAACTCCTGGTGGAAAGCCAGCCTGTCAAAATAGGAATGAATGAAAGTAAGCATGACTTATGAAAACTAATAGAGCACATTAAACCAGACATGTGCTGGTAGTTCCTTCCCCACAAGGAGAGACAGAGACAGTGTTCTTGTCAATTCTTACCTCCTTGATGAGAGCTCCCATATAGAGAGCACTGAGTGGTGTTTGTTCTGCTGGTTTAATAACTACTGTATTGCCACAGCACAGAGCAGGAGCAATCTTCCATGCAAACATCAGCAGGGGGAAGTTCCACTGTAGGAAAAAATTAAAGTTGATAGATGGAAAAATATTGCCATGGTGTTTTGTTTTCAAGATGTCAAGCTGCTACCTCACTTATTTCTCAGGCTGATCCTTGACATAAATCTTTCCCAGCACAAAGCCAGGGTATTTTTTTAATTACTACCATTACAGTGACCTTTTATTTCTTTCTCTCCTGTTCAAAGAAATACAGCTTTCACCTGTAATCTTCATAAAAAAATATTCTGTTATCTGTTCATTTTTTTTTTGGTCACAACCTTTTATTTCATTTACTGTTTTGCAATTGGCACTTTTAATTCCTTCATGGCAAATAGTTCCTGCTTTGGAAGGAACTGTTTGTTCATGTTGAAGAATTTTTGGATGCAAATTTCTTAGCCCTGAATGCATCTTAAGATATAAAATTTATACTCAAAACTATATAATCCTTAATTGATAGAATTACAGTAAAAAAACCATAAATGTCAATGCTCAGTCAAAGCATTTAATTTTCTCAAAGACTTCTTACTGAGCAATTTATTTGGAAGATGTTAAAAGAGCAGTAAAATGCAAGTTAAAAAGCTCATTGCTGATATAACATTTTGTATTGTCATTCATTTCAACTTCATTTAACTGCAGCAGAAGATGTAGTGAGTTATATTAATTTGATGCACAAAGACACATTGTGGATAAAGAGAAAAGTAACAAGCCTTTCACATCAAGGCCTGATCCTAACAGGTTAAGTGGATAGTCCTGCTGATTTCAGTGGAAATGCCAGAGTAATAAAATAACTGTGCTTGCACAATCATTCTTATAAACGCATACAATCATCTCCTTTGGAAAGAGAATAGAAACTATCAGTCACAAAGAGTAAGCCACTGGCCAGAACGTGTTACTGCCTGATGCGTATCAGCTGCCACTCTCACAGACATCTCTCTAGCCCCTGGCTAGCTTGAAAAAATACACAACTGTCTTTCCTTCAGCGAACACCCAATTTTTTACTCCCTCTGTTGTTTATAAACTCTGGAGACAAAGTGATGTTTTAATTCTGTCGCCAGTATATAAACCTGGGAGGGGAGCTGCAGGGCCAGCAGTGTGCTAACAGCCTGACTCTAATGGTATTGCAAGGAGAGCTCGGAGGAGTTTTATAGGGCACTATATAGTCCTGTTTATGCTACAGCACTGCCAAAGAGCATATGTTTTGATGGCAGCTAGGATCTGAAAGAGGATGAGGAGTTTAGTGCTAGGCTTGCTGTTTAACTTTGTTTTTGTAATAACATATTTGCTGGTGTAATGGCCAAGTGTGTGCAGCAGGCAGGGGCTGCACCCTGACTGGTAGCTGCGGAGGAAACGTAACAGATTAGCAGCAGTGTTAGCATAGATGTGTATGACAGCCATCTTGAAGTTTTGGAGGACAAAACTGAGGGAAGAATGAACACGTGGTAGATGGCTGGGTACCCTGAACAAAGAGTTTCACACATCTAAACTAAATAAATCCTGCTTGCGGCATGAGCGTCAGCCCGTGGCCAAATTTCTTCAACAGATCTGTCAGTTAAGCTCAATGAGACAAGCCTAAGAGATGTCCAGCAACTTTGGGGTGAGATGTTGGGGTTGTCGTTTAGTGAATGCTTATCCATGTGCCTGGCTGAAGAATGGGGACAGAGCTGTGGAATCTTTCATTCATAAGGACCACTCCTGAGTCAAGTTAGGAGAGTGTGTAGGTGTTGCAAGGAGGGGTGTAGCCACACAGACTCTGAGTGCTTACATGTTTCTCTGAGTTTCTACAGAGTGCCAAACACAATAGCCACCCCTTAACAAAGACAGGAAACAACAACAAATATAAATAAGGAAAAAGGGTTTAACATTGTTAAAGTAATCTTTTCTGGCTGCTCCTCTTGTAATGGAATTGGTGTGTGTTGCTGTTTAGTGGCTTTGTGGTTAACATGAACAAAATAAAAAATCAACATCAACAAAAATTTCAGAGAATGTCCTGATTAGTCCCCCAGTGCTTTGTCAAGTAAAAAAAAAAAAAGCTTCCACACAATATTTTAATAGCTATATGTGAGCCTCCCATTGAAATTTCTGCCAAAGCTGGTTGACTGGTTCTCCTGAAAAAGTTAGCCTCTCAGTGTAATTCCCATGCAGTGTTCAGCAAGATTTTATTAAGGGTGTATATTGGGGTGTAGGGGGAGTATTGGATTTGACAAAATGATGTGTTTCTGTCTCACAACAAATAAAACAAACATTCCATGTATTCTATTAGCTACACAATGTTAATTGTAATGATATGTCTCCTGGAGTTTCCTTTTCTCCTCCAGCCTTGTAAAAGAAATAGCAGGAAAGAATGGAATTAAAATGCATCACATTCTCCCAGGAACTGAGGAGCCTGTTAAATCACAGTAAAAACTAAATAAATAAAAAGACTACCACAGCAAAGCATCAATTTTCCATAAGTTGTGTGAACATCCATAACCACTGACAGCATATTAACACTGTGTTTTGCTTTGCTTGTTTTAATCATGAGAATTCTATGACTTGAGAACTTAACTCCTAATAACAGAGCCTAAACCCTATTAGCATGTTCAAATAAGCATTTGCAGGGAGGCTGTTAAAGATATGTCAACAATATGAGCTCAGCTTTTTTCGTAATGGAAAACACACATAGCTGAGGACCATGTTTTATGTGTCTTTAAAGAGAGCTGGTTCAAATGAAAATAAATAGAAAGCGCTAGTAGAGATACTCACAGGGATGATCTGTCCACACACTCCGATGGGTTCATGTCTTGTAAACGTAAAATAATCTCCATCTGAAACAGATGAGCATGGTTACTCTCAAGTGCAGTTTGACTTGGCAGAACAAAAAAAAAAATTAAAATAGAAGGGGGTGAAAAACTCTAAGGATCAGCCTTTGATGGCAGTAAAAGAAATAAAGAAGTCATGGAAGTGTTTTTTCATGAGCCAGCATGGGAAACCTAGGTTCAGGAGCAACTTAATTGTTCTTTCTGGAGAACAAAGGAAGCAGGCATCCCATCAGAAAGTAACCTGCTTTGTTCCTTGGGAAAGAGGACAAGCTGTACTGCACAGAACATTGCAGCAGCATGGAAGCCACTTACTGGCCTCAGCTCATCAAGGGTAAGATAAGTGAAGGAAGTCACAAAGGCAATTTCCTAAAAGGCACGTCTGGACCACAGCAATATAAAGGTATACATATATAAGCAGTTGTGGGATAATAGAGTAACATACATCCTGCTCCTCTGCCATTGAAGACAGAGGCACTTTGAAGTAATGGAATGATATACCACAATCTGTAGATGTGGAACGAAGAGGGCAAGTTTGTGACTGATGTGCCACTGAGCATCATTTACTGCAGAAGACAATGCTAACAAGAATACAGGGAGCAACATACAGCTGTGCTTCTACAGCTAACTGGTACGACAAGGCCCTATCAGAAATGGCCTCAAGCTAAATAGGTAGTCAAATTAAGTTGACAGCATAAACTTGTAAGCAGCTAGAACACCAGACAACAGAGAATAAGAGGTTTTCACCAATCTTTTAGGCAAAGTAGAGGTGAGTAAATAAATGAAGGGACCTAGTCACTGAAAACTTGGAAATTATGGTCTTTTATCGATAAACATTTGACAGAAATATGGACTAAGAAAGATCTTAACAACAAAGATGCAAGGGAAGCAGACTGCACATTCACAAACAGCAGGTGTGGATAGTATTAGGTTGAAGGGAATTAATTAACTCTCCAATCTGGTAATTATTTTTAAGGTCCTGATGAACAGAAATGGCAAAAAACTCCAGGGGTGAGAGGTATGACTAGTTAAAGTGAGTGTTACATGTGTTCTGCAGTCCTTAACAACTAAAGCGCTGTTGAGCTCAGGGCAGCCTGAGTCAGGCCATGAAATAAACAGCTCTGTGATTTGGGGTCAGGCCTGTGGTCTGTGGGAACAGCTCACATGGCCCCTGCTCCGAGCAGCAGGTCTGTGCTGGCTCATGCTGCACAGCTGGTATAAGTGACTGTCATGGAAGTTGATGCTCTTTCACAAAGCTGCACGGTTGTTGCTGCTCCAGCACTTGCCTGTGGTCTGGGAGTACATGCTGAGATACCATTTAGGCTTTTTCCCAATTGATAAAAAGCCAGAAAATGACCTGCTCTGTGTGGGAACTGGTTAAGGTACAGTCTAACTAGCAGCTCTGTTAGTGTGCTTGGCCTGCAGCTGTGCGAAGTAGATCTACCCTACTTCTGTACCTAAAATGAGTCTCATAGCTGTATAAACTAGCCCAGGCTCAAACCATTTCTGAATTTAGGTCAAATGTTTCTCAGTAAGGCCATAGCTGAGGGAAGGGCTTTGCTAAAGGCCTGTAGTGCTTGATTAACAACTAAGTATGTGAGAATGCTGAGGAGATGATTTACCAGGCTAGGAAAAATTCAAGCAGAGGAAGGCAGTAAGAGGAGGAGAGATTACAGGGCTTTTTGCTCCTATTGTTCTGTGCAATACTTTCCCTCCCACAGTGCAAAGTGTTGAGCAGCCACGGCCTGTACCCCATTCAGTCAGAGCTGCAGCCATCCTGGTTCAATACTGGGGAAAGACCTAACTTCACAATGGAGAGTGTTTTGGGAACCTGCTGCAATGTCCCCTATGATACATCTGGTAACAAGAAACAGGTTAATCCATAAAGTTTCTTGGTTTTAAGGAAAGATTTCAACTTGAATTTGATTAGAAGTAACTTATTTTCAGTTCTGCTTATTTCTATTCATCTGCTTTACAGGATTTGCTCAGTAGAAACCTGAGCTGAAGTAGCTAATATGTCAGCTGAGGGCCAGATACAGAATAATTATGAGGAAAGGTAACGAGACAGAACAGAGGAAATAAAGGAGAGGGGGCAAGAGAGAAAAGAGATTCACATCAGGAAAAGATGGGAGAAAATAGTTATCAGTTGGTTTGCTCTGCATTGACAAAATGTCATTGCACTTTTCTGATCTCCAGATGCTTAACAACATTCCAGTGGAGATGAGAATGTTTGTCTCACGGATTGAGATGATTGGTTTGATTTTCTAGGTTATCTTTCACAGATGCTAGCAGTGGACCATAGGAAGATTTTTCAGACCAGTCAGAAGTAAAGTTGAAGTCAAAATACAGAGAAGTACATACAGGCAAAACTGTCTAAATGCTCAAGAGGTACACCGAGGAGTCAGTTAAAAATACCAACTTGTACTCAGTAGTACTGTGAGAGGTGGGTTCTCAGCCAGAAGGATGGAGGCAACATAACAGTAACACAGTTACGTTAGCACTGTCTGACTTTAGATTGTCACTGCATAATCACTGCCACATGTCTGTGTGCTTCATAACACAGTTATAGATAACCTGAACCTGCCTGCCAAGTCAGACAAATGGTGGTTAATTCTACCCAACGTAGGCAGAACGTTCTTTCCGCAGAGCTGTACCTCCCATGCAGAGCTGCTCGCCCTGCTGTCTTCCACTAGACTCCAGACAGCTGCCCTTTTTGACACCTACTTCCAAAGTTCAGCATCCACAGACTTACTGTCAAGATGGGATTTTTGAGGTTGCTTTCTAACAATATCTTTGGGAACATATGTGACTCGAAGTTATTCAGAAGCCTCGGATGTCTCTGGACAGGCCAAAGATGGATATGGAGTCACCTTGTCCATAATCTAAAATAAGCTGCTAGCATGGCAAAATAACTCAGGATTTAAGTGAATCCCTTACTCTAAACAGTGAGCATAGAATGCTCCCCTGTGCTTAGAAATTACATAGGAAACTTTTTAAATGGTTTAGTTTTGATTAGTTTAGACAAGTCACACTAATGACACTTATTCTAAGGAGCTGTGTCTGATGACTGTTACTCTTGACTAGCTGTCAGCCAGAAGAACATTGCCTGAGAGGGATCTGACACTGATCCCACATCCAATCTAAAAATTTGTGTTAAAAGGTTTTTCAATATTCTCAGCTGATGTAAACTGGCATTCTTCAGTCCTCACTGATATTAATAAAGCCAGATCAATTTGCAGCTGCTTAGCACCTGGCCCAAAGATTTTAATTTTTTAATCAGAAAGCAAGCCCCATTTATCCAGGGATCTCACTTTGGGACACCAATACCTTCCACAGATGTGTTTGCTCAGATTTCCATCAGGAGTCTACATCCCAGATATTTTATTTGCGTAACAACCACAATACAATCCCATGCCTCATACAGCAGGACACAGCAAACAAATGGGTGAGGAGGACTGAGTTGGTTCTTTAAACTGTATCATAACATATACTGATTTAAAGATACATTTCTGCTTGCATTCAGTTTATTAGTTTAACAGCTTCTAGTCTAGTCTCACTCTGTTTTAATTTAAATCATCAAGGCTTTACGCACAGGAGCAAGCAAAGGGCAGTCTGAAGGTTTTGTAGCTCTGGGACCAAAAGGAATGTGACTGTAAAACGCACTGTTCTTCTTCTACTTGTCTATCGCTTGCCTATTTTTATTTTAGGGGAACAGAAAACCTCAGCAGAAACAGATGAAAGATTGGGAGGTTTCAGATTTATTAGCTGAACAGAATGAGAAGGAGATTTAAGTGTTTTTATTTTGGTTTTGTTGTCTTGTTTACCTTTGATGAGCTGATGGTAAGTGAACATAAAAAGCATCATTGTTTAACACTGGCCTTGCTCTAATGTAGCTTTATGAGAATGACAAATTTACAGGGTGAAACTAGAGGAATAAGAGGAGTGTTAAACCAAGAGGAAGAGCTAATTGATACCCTGAAAATCTGTGAACGGACTTATGACTCTACACTGCTGATAACTGTGTTAGCACACAGTCTGCATTTAGGAAGGCATACTGAAAATGTGCCTTCCTTTTGCCCAGCATAGCCCACCTCACTGAAAAAAAAACAGTTTTCATCCTATGCATTACTTGAGAACAAGAATAAGTAGAGAACGTTTATTCTCCTTAACCTAACAATGCCTTTTGGTGACTGCACTAATTGCTGTGTCCCTGTGGGGCTAAAGAGTGAGAAGGAGGCATTTACCGACCAGGGAGAAAGAGATTAGGGAACAGGAAATTTGCTGAATATATGAATTGATGGTGTGGTCTGCACTTCTGCATGATTAAATGCGGAATGCAAGCAGCAAAACTGATTCTCAGCCTAAATGACTGTGGAAATCTCTGAGTCCTTGCAGGAGAGTCTATACCTGAAATATTGTAATTTTTTTGGCAAAAATAAACTAGTGCTGATAACACCAGTCAGAACACTCTGCAATTTTAATAAGGTGAAATACCATGATGAGTAACAGTGCAATAAGAGTTAAATGATCTGTTTTCCTTCTGAAAATTTTGGGGGCACATTTTCAATTTATCTAGCTTTGATGGTTTGGGGCTTTGCCGTAGAGAGGGAAGTGAGTGCACTGCAGATACTGTGTAACATCAGGGAAATAGATGGGCAACAGCAGAATATATTTCCCTGTGAGTGTGCCTTGCTGGGCTGCTTCAGTAAAGTGCAAGAAACATTGCATGTGCAATGAACACTGTGCACCATGAAGTCAAAAAGAATCCACAGAACGGATGTTCATTTTCCTTAATGTTTTTCCAAAGATTTATTTTATGCAGGTGAAAGATGAGTACATTTTTCTTAATGCCCACACCTGCATAAAATCATTCTTTGCTATCATGTACCACTTTGCATAATTATAGCACTTGGTACATTTAGTCCAGACTGCAAATGGATATGTTTGCATCAGAAAATACAGCCTGTGTTTGTTAAACATCTGGGAGGGAGGGGCAGGAGGAAGAGACTCATTAAATAAAAATAATGGTAAGGATTTTTTCTTATCTCTTTAGCAAAAAAATAAAAGCATAATAACTAATTTCCTAGCACTCATAAAGATTTATATATATAGTATAAAACTCATCCCACTGAATAATTTGAAGAAGCATACATAACAAAATATTTCTGATATGTACGTAGTTCTCTACAGTAACATTCTGAACTCTCTCAAAGTATAAACTGATTTAGATCTAGTGTTAGTCCCAAGTAAAATGATTTGCATAAGCAGTAACAAGACATACAAACAAGATCTATACATAAGCATACTGTTCCTTGAACAGGCAGCTGACACTGTTTTCATGAGTTCCAACGTATTTGTCAGGTTTATAGTGTATCCGTTTTCATAAGTACATCAGTATCTAAATGTAGGTATTGAGCTACCTCGTTCTCAGATGGGCACATGCCAAGGAAACCAAGCCCTCTCCAGGTGTGCATGCAGGGCAGAGCAATAGCAGGGCATCTAGTCCTGCCCTTGCTGACTTTCAGACATTGCTTCAGCAACATACTGCACACTGCAAGACCACAACAAGGTTCTCTTCTACCTTCCTGGAAGCTGTAATCTGTTAAGCCATTTAGCCATGAGAAGGTTTAGGTGCATATCTGTGGTTTAATTCTCCTTACCTACAGGAATGGTCATTCCATGGATTTTGTCTGCCCAACCTGCGTAATACCTCAGGGTTTTTATGACTCCCTGGAGATCCACATAGAAAGCTTGCAAGAATGGTTTGCCGCTGTTCAGCGATTCCATAGTCTGGAGGACAAGAAAAAGTTAAGAGATATAAGCACAATAACATTTTTGGACTTTAGTATTTTTACATTTTAGTATTTGCTATCTTAACAGCTCTTCAATCATGACAAAGATTTTAATGCAGACCAACCAGTTATGCCTTAGCATAGTCTTAACTGAGAAGGTTCAGAACAATTATCTGATCCCTTTTATTACTTCTTTTTGCAAATGTGAACAAAAAAGCATTTTCTGCAAAAAACGTGTGTGTTTATGTGTGTTTGTGTGTCTATCTGTCTTGTGGGTTTATGTGTGTATCCACATGCACGTCCATGTGCCTTTGTGTATTTTGAACCTAGCAGCCACTCTGTTTGGTCCAGATCTATAAATGCTGAATTGCTTTAATCAGGAGCCAAGATAAAAATGCCTGTCAAACTAGGTTCTGTTATGTTAATGATAACAGCTGAGAAGGGGCTCCTTGTAACCCCGTATTAATGATCTGAATCCATAAAGAGAAGAATGGACATATCCCTCTTTATATAATTGATGTGAATATAAAAATTTCTCTATATGGCTGCCAAGACTCCTGCTGAGGTCTGAGATATCTATACTGTACAGCCAGTTTATTTATTGCCATCAAATAAACAAACTCTCCTCTAGGGAAGCTCATAAATTAACAAGCTAATGTCCTTAGTTTTAAGTTAATATTCCTATTTTTAAAAGTATCTTATAAGCTATCCTCTTAGGGACTCCTAAGATCATTTAGCAAAAAAAATCCAATAAAATATCCTAAGATGCTGAGTAGCTTAACTCATTCTCAATAGCTGTCTAATAGAAATCATTAAGAATGGGCAAAGGACGCCCATGTGTAACACACCAACCATCAAATGAGTTTCTATAGAGAAGAATGGAGGCCTAATTCTGCACTGACTTATATCCCCCAAGAGCAATTAATGGCATTGCCTGCAGTGCAATTCAGTAAAGAACTTGGCTCTAGAAATAAAAATCAAATGACAGGCAGAGTAAACTTGATTTGCTGTGCACTTCCTTCTCCCTGTGGCGATTTTACAGTATACGCTGGTGGTAAGATGATTTAAGTGTTGACAAAGCTGGAATTAAGATGTTCACCAGCTTAGTTCAAAGCAGTTGACATGCGGAAAACAACATTAACAATGCCACCGTTTAGATGGCTTCATCCCTGAGCAAACTAGTGCTGTACCCAGAATTCTTGCTACCAGTCGAGCGTCAGTGAGCATTTCACCTGCCATTGCATCAATGTCTGCACAAATCACCCAACTCAGCCTGCCAGTTTTTATTCTAGAGAAGTTTCAAGCAGCTATGGCAGGTGTCCACATGTGTGCACACCCATGCGTTTGCGTGAGGTCCAATTTAAAGCTCTCTGGAGTCCATTGGAAGACTCCTGTTGACTTTTAGGAGCTTTGGGTGAGGTGGTAAGCAGACAGACAATCAGCCATGTAGCTGAGTGTAGTTTTCAAACACAATTATATTGACACATTCATGAACTAGTTTGCTCTCAGAACATAAAAGTGACAAATGATTTGACTATTGATTTTCATGTGCCACTTACAGCAAGAATTGCCCTGTCTCTTTCAACCAAGTCTGCGAGCTTATCCAGAAGATGTCCTCGTTCCGATGCATCCATTCTCCTCCACACGGAACCTAGAGAAAAAGCAAGTCGAGCTGCCCTCACTGCTTTGTCCGTATCAACCTGTAAAGAAGGAAGGACAAAAGTGAAGGCCCACAGGTAAATAACAGCACTAGGCTTAGGAAATTTGCTGTTGTACAACCTTAGCCACATGATGGATTTTGGAACCATGATTTATAAAAGAACTGCCCAACAGTGCTATTCTGGACTGTTGCTTTGATCTATTTATACATATCTATTATCTTTTATTTGATATATTTATGCATTATACATATAGTCATTCATTAGATGCATTACCTTGTCAGCTTCCTGAATCTCACAGATCTGCTCTCCTGTTGCTGGATTATACACTGGGAATATTCTCCCACTTTCAGAATTCTGCCATTCATTATTGATGAAAATCTAGAAAAGGAAGAGAAGTCATCAACCTTCCTGCATGAACAGTCACATATATAAAAACAAAGTCCTGGGAAAGGCTGCAGATTCTAATACAAAAGAGCTGCAACCTATTTATGCTTGTGAAAATTACAGTTTTCAAGAGTTCATGCTGAGGTCAGCCCCGATGTCTTTCTGCATTCTGTAGCAGTGTCACTACAGAAGCAACATCAAATTCCAATTAACTTGGCTGACATTCAGATTTGGTTCAAAAACTGTAACGAATAACCTAAAAAAGGAAATACCTGTATCAGAGAAAAAGCCTTGAAACTGCTGGAGACAAGACAGGGATTTGGAGTAATCATTCCATTCAGTAAGTAAACATTTGGTCACTGATACAGCCCAGTCAAGGCTGAATAATCTCAAACATCACAGTTCTTCAATACACAGTCAGTTGATTATGGCTACAGTGATGGCTTGCAGCACAGAACTAACTCGCTTATCTGCTTGGAACAATGGAAATTGTTAAATTCTTTCAGCATTGGTATCATTTTAATTGTCACGGGCAAACCAAACTCAAATGGTAATGGGGCTGACAAGAGCTGTCTTGAGAAAGGTAATGACAAATTACTTTATTTAAAGTAGATTTTTACTGGTAGCTGCATACATGTCAGCTATTTTCTACTGAATGACTTTCAAGAACAGGATGCAATTATTTATTAGCAAATACGAAAGAAGTCACTCCAGGAAAATGACTGAGCAAAAGGTTTTCCAGATACTCAGACTCTTCCTGTCTTTTAAATCTTTCTAAGAATCAGTGTTCAAAATGTCCAGGCACCATATGGGTTCCTTGGAGTTCAGCTATCAATGTACTTTCACTGTATTCCATGAAATACAACTTTAAATGTGTAAGGGGATGTTCTGGCCTCATTGAAATAAGCAGGAATTTTACCCCTGGCTTCACTGGAGGCAAGAGATCACCTCTAAGAGAAGGAATATTCACCATCCTCGTTTTGCAAGTGGCTCTGTGGCTCTGTGCTTATAGAGACAGGGACCCTTTGACAGCTTGAGGAGGCTCAGCTCCGAGCGGAGATACTCAGGTGGTAGAAACTGGCCCATCTTTTTACACATGAAGGCAAAGATACACCTGTAGAGTTTTCTGTTACTAGACATGAGTTTGCTCAACCTATTCTCCAAGCCAAATGGAAGGCCTGTAGCTGTCTTCTCAGCAGGGCTTATTAGCTCAGGCTCAGTGCCACACTAACTGCAGTGACACAGCTTCTGCTTCAGAGCTGACTCATGTCCAGCTGACTGGGGGTGTGTGTGGGAGGAACCTGCTCCTGCCTGGAAAAGACCCTGGTGAAAGGACAACTGTACTTCAAAAGGAACAATTACCTGTGCTTTTGCTATTACAGATGTTTCCTCATCTTCCCTGTACATCAAACTTCAGCCACTTTGCTATCTGACCTTCCACCCTCTCCAGAGCCTGTCCTTTCTTTACTTTCCCCACTTTTTTTTGTTTAGGTTTTCAGAGGTTGCCAAACTCAAGACCTACCACACCACTACAATTGCTTTCTTTGCATGCTGTATTTACCCTGAACCTCGTCGAGTTCTTGGACAGTAAGCTTCTCAGACTGTACTGGTGTCTTACTGCTCAGTGGTTACAGTGTTTGGCAAACCAAAGTCCTGGTCCCTGTTACAACATTTTGGAGCTAACCCAGCCAAAATAAGATAGTGAAAGAATCTCTCTTGTGACCAACTCCGTAAGCCAAAATCCTCCAGTGTATCACTGTCACTTTTTAGACTGCGGGTGAAACAAAGAAACTCTGAGGTCTGGGATGTGTGTTGAAGGAGGATTTTACTGTCATGCTTTCCATTGAGTTAGTTCATGGGAGTTAACTCTGTGCCCAGAGTGTGTGTGGGGGAGCTGAGGAGGGAGGGGAAGGGAGAAAAGCTTGCAGCTTCAGGAGCAGATGGCCAAAGGAGATGTAAGCATGTTTGTTTAAGGTGACAGAATGTACATAAACACAGAGGTTTCTCCTGTGAGTTGTTGTATTGAAAGAATAAAACAGTTAGGGTGAGTACAAGAACCTGAGAAGTTGTGGCAACCACAATTCAGTACACTTCCTCTATAGAAGTGGTCTGTTCTTTTTAAAAAAGATTAAAAACTGTTAACTCCATTCTTCTGGGATTAACACCTATCATCAGGTTTGCTAGTAGACAGGACAAGTATTTGCTCTTAAAATACATTTCACCATAGGAATGAGAAAAAGTGCCTTGGAATTACAAAAGAGTGTTGCAATTGAAGTCGACTGGAAGGAGAAGGTATATTATTTTATCAAATGCTCCATTTATCCCACACATTTAGAAAAAGAACAGCAATAGTAAATATTTCAGATAGGACATGGGAAAGATCTATTTGGCATAAAGTTAGAGTTGAAGGCAAGAGAAATTGCTACTGTTAATGGTTAATGTTAGTTTCTTCCTGTTCCACTTTCTATAAACAAGGTATTGCCTATACAAGCTCATTACTGTAAACTGAGCACATTTAAATTGGCAGTAAAATCAGAGTATTTACTCTAGTGCACAAATAAAGTACCTAGTCCCATGTTTTGGAACAGTTTCAAGTCTTGAAATCCAGCAGCTGGCGGCTTTACAAGCAAAACCTTACACTTAAATAATTCACTTTTGAAAGTTTTAGGTGTTCTGTGTCAGGTAGTACCATTCAGCAGATATTCCTACCACCAAGACACAGATTCTTTTGCAATAAATTTGCATTCACAGGGGCTTTTATAACTCTTCCAGCACTACTGACTCCAATGGCTGTTGATTAAACGTATATATCCTGTACATTTAATCTGACTTTCATTATGGCCACTTCGTAAAAATGCCATGAAATGGAGAAGCGATGACACATTGCAAGAACAAGGAATCCCTGCAAAGCCTCAAATTGGGTTTTTTTCTGCCTTATTTATAGTGACCATGGTAAAGGCTAACTCTAAATCAGGGAGAATATTTGACAGCAAATGTTCCTATCTATGGATTATATATAACCCATCCTAAACACCAGATAAAAAAGGGGTAACCCTAGAAAAAGAAGGGCTTGCTTCCATGTAAATCATGCTACAAATTGGACAACACCCAGTGAGTTCATTGTTCAACCTCAATTGTGAAGGCTATTCACATTTACTATTCCCCTGGAATCAATGTTAATTAAGGCTGACTGGGGCTATAAATCAGCCTTTGGTTTTTACAACTTAATTCAGCATTAAGCATATATATGTAAATAAAAGGTAACTGATTAACCACTTGAGTTTTCCAGGAGTTACTGAGGTAATTTGTTTTTGTTTGAGTCCTAGTGTTACCTTTTGTGATATGCAGTAAGGAAAATAAAAAGTATATAGTGTGTCATTCATTTGCTATGTGGTATTGTGCTAGTTAAATAATCTGCCTGTTGGGTGCTATCAACAGCACTATGCCAAAATGGAAGGGGAAGAAGGGAGCATTTGAAAAATTCTGGAACACACAAACATTTTGTTTGCCATTTACTCTCAGTAGAACCAGTAACTGCAGCAATGTCAGAGCAGAAAGATAAAAGGCAAACTTTCCTGTTTTCTCGAGGTGTCCCTGACAGTACAAGGATTTGGCCAAGAACAAACCCAACTGGAAAAAGAGACAAAGCCTCTTGTAAGTGAGGAGTCTGGCTGCAGTGTACAGTGGTCTAAGGAGGAAATTGAATATTATTTGTTGATCAGTGATGCCTAAGGGAACATGCAGACCAGGGCAGCAGGTGAGGTGGCAGGTGGGTGAGGTTGTATGTGTGTGGGATGGGGACGTTTCCAACAGGCCTCACAGTGTCACAGGTGCAGTTGGAAGCTCGTGGCTGCCCCTGTGAATGTGCCCTTAGACTATCATCATTCTCATGAGATCTCATCAAAAAGATCTCTTGGCAATTTCTGTGCCTTTCCAAATGAAAGATGAAGAAGGCATAGGATTTTTGTAAAAACAACAGTCATATCCCTCCCAGTACTGACAATAACCTCTTGCTCACACACACAGATGCTCTCACAGATCTTTTGATAGAACTTCTCAAGATACTGGTCCCACCATGTCTTAACTAGCTTCAACTCCTTCTCACAGTTAATTACATATAGCTACATTTAACAGAGTTCCATAGGACTAATCAAGAAGGCAATCTGACCCATCCTACAGGCCACGTGACTGCTCAGAGCTTTTGAGATACCGTATCATACCAAAAAGTATACAAAGGAAGAGTAAAATTCCAAACTATCATGTAAAAATTCCTAGTTACTTTGAGACATGCAGCAGGAAGGAAATCATACACTGCATTTTGCACAAGACCTGCATTTCACGAGCATTACACACCGAGTTCAACAGCATTTTGGATGCTCATCAGTTTTGAAATCAAGCCAATGGTAAATGTTTCTAGCATAACACAAAGCAAATTAAGCTTTGCAAACAAACAACTACGATATCTTGTTTAAGTAGCCATCTGTACCACTTGGCTTACTAATAATTAGCAACTTACCGTTCATTTCAAACCATGCAGGTAATTGGAGTGGTAAGTATTCAAAGAGGAATGGGTGTGGACAGACCCAGCCTGGACATTCTAATCTGCAGTGCAGTAGTAGCAAAATTTAAAGCAGGGAGAAAATAGACAGGATTTTGTGTTTTCATCACTATTGACCACTGAGTACAAAAAAACTATTTTTATGAGTGTGTGTATAAATATGATTAAATAAAATACAGCACAGAACTAATACCTCCCTTGCAGCTCTTAGTTGAAGGAGCTTTGTTTTCATGGCACTACAGATTCCCTCTACTGTTCCTCCAGGGGCTAGCCCTAGATTTGGGAAATGGAACTGATTTTCACATTCACTGGGGATTCCTGCAAGCTCACTGCCTTTATTTTAGGTGTTGTCTTTCCTTAAAACATGTAGAAAAAAATTAATTTGGGCTCTTTTAATTCATAAGAGTAATCAACCCAGGTGGCAACAATGTAACTT